GTAAGCTACATTAAAGTATTTATTTAGAAAACAAATAAATGGTCCAATCAGGCTTTTTCTTTGTATGTCAAAGGGTAGATTTCCTTACATTTTATCAATGAAAACTTAAACTAAATCAGTGTAAAGCCCACACTCTGTGAAATTATATTATACTCCAATGTTAACACAAATGTGCGCGATTAAACTAAATGTTTCCAGCCTCAGAAAACATAACTTGTTACACTATAATAAACTTGTCAATCAATTAAAAAAAAAAATCGACAGCTGATTTTTTTGTTTTAATTTGGTTCACAGATTGTCTTTTAGGTAAAAACCTATTTTCTTCAAGGAACCCTGTAGACACAGCCTTACAGGAAACTCTGTGTCATCTAAGAAACAGCGACATCAAGACATCACGTTGGGACACAGTGATGAATCTGTTTTTACCAAATGACTAAACATTTAAGTGTCTATTTGTCCCATTAACAACACAACAGCATAGAGAGATGTAAAATGTGGAGAAATATAACAGTGAAATAACAAGTGAGCCAAATGTTAAATAAAAGGCAGCTGAGAGTACGGAAATAATTCAATTCAATTCAATACAACTTTATTTATCCCGAAGGAAATTCTTGTGCCAGTCTTTTACTTCAGTAAAGTAGCAACACTACTGTGTAAAACTGCTCTGTTACAAGTAAAAGTCCTGCATTCAATATCTTACTTAAGTAAAGGTACAAAAGTGTTAGCATCAACATGTAGTTAAAGTCCCAAAAGTAAAGTGCTCCTTTTGAAAATAGCCCACTGTAGAATCATTATATAATTACTGGATTATTATTATTGATGCATTCATTTGTTTGTGGCTTTAGTGTTGCAGCTGGTAAAGGTGGAGCTCATTTTAATTAGTTTATATTGGCTACTAAATTGTTTAATAATCTGAATATGTAAAGTAACTAGTCACTAAATCTATTAAATCAATGTGGTGGAGCAGAAGCAGAGAGTAGCAGAAAGTAAAACAAAACCTAAGTGCAGTACTTGACAAAATGTTGATGCAGCTGCATTCCACCACTGTCGGACATATTCAGGGGTTAGGTTTGTGACTTCTAAATTAATAACAAAATCTTAAAATCCTACCTCTTCTTCTCGCCCTCTGATTATATAGAATAAACAAAAAGAAGGACAGGAAGGAAGACAGAGAAACAAATAAGTAATCAAAGAAGAGGTGGCACCACAGTGTGGTGAACAGGTTGGATTCAGATTCAGATTCAGATTTTGTTTATTGTCATTGTACAAACATAACGAAATTCAGGTGCACTCGGGGACAGGGCTCATATATAAAAGTAAGTAATAAATAGTAATAAAATAGTAATAAAAATAAATAAATGCCTTCATTTCACTCACATTCTACACAATTGTAGAAACACTTCACACAGTCATTGCCAACATATGCAGTTAAAACTGGATTTCAAAAATGTGCTCATGTATATTATTGCACATAAAATAAGTTATTGCGCATAAGAAAAGGAACTGCTATGTGTTTTAGTGGGTTCGCTTCAGTTCAGAGTGCAGTATGGTGATGGCTTCAGGATAGGGACTGTTTATGAATCTTGTGGTGTGTGTTTTGATGGACCTGTAGTGTTTTTCAGAGGGCCACAGTTCAAACAGGTGATGAGCAGGATGGAGTACGATATGATACGATACGATACGATATGATTCGATACAATACAATGCAATACAATACAATGCAATACCATATGATACGATACAATACAGTGCAATACAATACAATGCGATACGATACAATACGATATGATACGATTTATTGTCCCACAGGGAAATTTGTCTTGGACTCATATGCACTGCATACAATAAAAACACAGACAAACAGTACATTAAACATAACAACAAATAACACATACCCCCTCCCCAGTGCAATACAGTAGGCTATAAATAACATCAGATAACACATGTATTGACTTGTCGTCCATTAGAGGTCCTCTGAAATGTATGTGCCTAGGAATTTAAAACTGGTCACCCTCTCCACCCTCACCCTATATGTACAGTATGTGTACAGTACAGTACAGGGCAAAATGCTGGTTTCTATTCTCCCAGGTCCATATAGTTGAAAGTTACATTGTGTGGCTGCTTTTTAAAGAATTGTGAAAGTTTTACTGTCTTTATTTGGTCACAATATCTCATTGTATACATTGACATGTTAATTTATTTATGTAGAGGGTGTACTATGGCTATCTATGTCTGTGTTAATACTGCATGTATTTGTGTTTCTGTTCTAAAGACAGAGACATAAGCATTGTTCCCCCAGTTTAGTCAGCACTATTTCAGATGAGACTGGATCTTGATGATGAAAAGACAGGGATAAACTGAAGAAGAAAAGCATGTGAAACTTTTGTTTTCTAACCAATTTCAAAGGCGTGAATCTGTTGTGCTGCATGCTGTCTCACAGCTCCATCTGCTGTCACAAAGTCTCAGGATCATTTAATCCAAAGACAAAGCACCGCTGAGCTAAAACGAAACCAAAGATGAACCGTACAGATAAAGTAAACTGCACTGTCTCAAAGTTCAATCAGCAACTAACAGCTAAAAACTCAAGTAGACTGCCCCCTTGAGGATTTTTCAAGCTGACAGGCTGACAGGCAATGTGAAGGGATCGAGGCAAAATGGTTGTCTTTGATAAAAACATGAATCCTTGTATTGAGTCAGGAGTGTGAACACAGAGATGGCATTTAAACCCACACACTTTCACAACTTTATTTAAAGACGATCTCTCTCACGATGATCTATGAGCGGCGTCTGAGTAAACAGGCCCTGAAGATGATTCTGCTCATGTTTTCCAATGTGAGCTTATACCCTCTGGCAGGGCCGCCCACTGGGGTGTAAAAAGGGGAAAGCTTTCTGGGGTTCAGCCACTTGGGGGGGCCCATGGAGGACAGCAATAATCATGTTCATCCGAAATGTAAGCAATGAAAACCAAATTTAATTTGGAGCCAAAATATTCACCCTTAGGCCTCCTTATTAAAACAACAAAAACAAACACTGTATTCATTGTTGCATTAGTATAATGATGAAAACCAGTTTTCCTGAAAATGTCACTTTTATTTATTTCTTATTTCTTATTTCAACAACTGTTGCAAAAAAACTTAAAAAAAAGAAATGCATAGGACCTTTTCAGGGGCCCTCCGGCAGAAGATATTAAGTTACTCAAACATTTTTTTTGTACCTAGATTTGTTGGTGCTCTGAATTTCAGCGGATGAAAGATTCGGCTCAAATTATAAATAAACTGATGAAATATGTTTTATTATGATGAATTAATCTACCCAGCGGTGTATAAGGTGATTGAAATTAGCTCCACCTCAACCAGCAGCAATATTAAAATGACGCACATACATAGGCTAATCATAATCCAATGATATTATATTGTTAGATTGTTGTTTACAAGATGGTGGTGCATGTAGACGCAGCAGCTCAGTGCTCCTCCAATCACAGCTACCTTTCATAGTTCTGATATGGATCATTCTGCATAATGAGCACTGTTACCTTAGGTACTTTAAAGTAGGAACAGACAGCTTTTTAACATTCCCCCCCAACACATTCTCACGCCGACCTCATCACATATAGACGTTTGGTCATGGACTTTAAACGTCTACATACGACGTGCAAGGTACCCTGGGTGTATTGGTTGTTAAAGTTCTGGGACGTGTAAAGTTGTGCCTGTTACATGGATTGTCGTCTTTCAAAATAAACGTCTGTTTTCACAGGAAATTCAACGTTTACATACAGTCTCTTTCAAAATAAAAGCACTACATTGGTACAACGCCACGAATTGAGATTTTTTTTTTTCCTTCAACAACAAATGCACGTGGTTGGGTTTAGGCAACAAAAACACGTGGTTAGGTTTATGAAAAAAGAACAGGGTTTGGCTTTAGAATCTTATGGGACGTGAACGCCACTTTCTCAGGTGAAAGTTGGTGTTTGTTGCACCCTTCTACCACCCCTCCCGCTCACACCAATTGGACTTTCACAGCCTTAACTTTCATCCTTGTCCCGCCACGTTTCCCCCTGACACCACAGTGGGCCATTAAACTATAATGGCAACTGGCTGCGTATCATGCTGATGTTAAAGAATACCTTTTTTCGATGGTTTCTGATGCCGCAAGTCACTGCACAAGCACCAAATTTCGACGACTTCGGAATGAGACCGGGCTCTTCCCCCCCTAGTGTTTCCAAGTGGTATTATTGTGGGCACTGCTGTCACAAAGTCAACTGCATCGTTTCCCTCAGAGCCTAACTACCACTTTTAGCTATTTCAGTTGTTACACTGACGTCATTTCCCCTACTGGGGATAGTAACTGCAAAGAACGAAAGACTGATATTCTTAGGAGGTAGTTATTGATAGCTACCGGGGAAAGCACTATCGTCTTTCTGTTTTTGGTTATACAATGACTGACGCACTTCCTTTGTCCCTTAAATCTTGCCTTGATTTTCCTGGGAGATCGTACCAAGTGCCAGGTAGAATTGCATAGTGAAAGTGAGGCTTATATGGAATCAATCTAAATACAGAGGGTGTCATTATTCTATAGCAAGGCAGGGAGCACAGGACATGTCCCCCTCAGTATTTAACATTTACTTCATAATGATAAGTAAAGCAACCTTGTCTGTTTCTACTTTAAGTATATTTTGATTGTAATGTGTCTGTGCTTTCACTTAAGTAAGATTTTGAATGCAGGACTTTTATTGTAACAGCATATTTCTACACTCTGGTACTGTTACTTTTACAAAAAGATCCGAGTACCTCTTCCACTATAATTGAATTGGGCATTTTATTTAGTTATTTTGGAAGTGGAGTGCAGAACAAACTTTTGAGGATAATTAAGTGTATTCTATTTTATTGTAATGTACACCTCCTCTGTTACCATCAGTAAACAAAATCTGCCAGCCCGCACTGAGTTGACACAACAACAAACAGGCAGAGTGTCAGCCCAGCAGAGGCAGGACGGAAATTTGACGTCAGCCCTCAAAAGTGAAAACTAATGGGAAACTAGACTCACATTACCTTTTGGATTCCAGACAGCACACCAGCCTAAGGAAAGCAGGTATGAGGATCTTCAACCACACTAACTTTCTCTTCCTCATCCCAATTTTTAACTGTTTAGTGTCTGTTAACTCACAGTAAAATGGGTTTGTAAGTCGTTTTAGATTAGATATATACAATCAGAATATCTAGCTTGTTTTATATAACTGTGAATATAACCTTTGATACATAAAATGCAGTTGACAGAGCTTTATCTTTTTTGTTTTTATAATACTTTGGTGATTTTAATGAGCTCATTTAAGATTTTTTCTTCTTTTTTCATCAAAAGCCTACGCAGAAAATTCTGACTCATTGTGATACAGGAGTCGTTTGTTGAGTACAGCAGATTAAAAAGGTCAAACCTATGTTCTCAAACAGTTTATCTGATTTAACTTTGGTACTGAATTCAAACACAATGACATAGGAAGGATATGAAGTTATAAAGCAGCCTTTGAGTGCTTATTGAATACATGTCTAGATTTTTTAGAGCATGTAGCACAAGACAATTTTAAGTCTCTTTGTCTTTCAGAAAGTTCACGACTGAGTCGACAAACTTGACGATGGCTTACAACAAATTCTTTATCGTCGTCTTTTGTCTTCTGAGCAGTAAGTACATTTTATTACCCCTTCTTCTTGCACACACATGCAGTTATTTAGGTGGTCTTACACAGGAAACAGACACCACACACTTTTTGCACAACGGAAATTTAACTGACAGAGGTGTTGCTGTGTAGCATCAACAGCTAAACAAAAAAAAAGAAGCAGAAATTCATGTTTGCATGTTTTTTTCTTTTCTTCTTTCTCTAAGACCTGGCTGGGGCCCTCACAGGTACGTACAACAAAAACAAGACACACACAACTTTGACATTCAATTCTTAATAATGTTTCATTTAGAAAAACAAGCAACACAAATGCAGAGCCAGACATCCGATGAATCATTTTTTCCACGGTTTTAGTTCACATCTTTCATCCCACTCTTTTCTCTCTCAGTCTGCCCCATTTACTTTCTGTCTGTGTTTGCCAGAGAGCACTGTGTCTTGCTACAGGATCGAGCCAGGGACAATAGCAGGCATCATTTGTGCAGATGTGCTGCTGACCCTCGTCATTGTTGTCATCACCTACCGATGTGCCAGTGTTCGGCGTCAGAAGATTGAAAATGGTGAGGAGACAGTCCTGATTTTATTGTGTTTGTATCTGAAATGTTGTTTGTTACAGCAAATGAAGTGTCAATGAAAAAGTTTATGAAGGATCGGCCTTTCACACCTGCTCATGCCTTTATGGAACTCCTGTTTTTATTATGATGCACAGATTTTTTGTTTGCATTTGTGAAACTTTTTGGTGTTTTGTACTTTCATTTCAAGGTCCAGTGTGTAGGATGTATGAGCATCTATTGGCAGAACTGAAATCTGATATTCATGTGTATAATCACCTGAAAATAGGAATATCTGTGGTTTTATTATCTTAGAATAAGTTGTTATATCTGCATAGTGAGTGGGCCTCTTCTGCAGAGTCCACCATGTTGTTTCTACCATAGCCCAGAATGGACAAACCAAACACTGGCTCTAGATGGGGCCATCGTGGTTTTTGCATTGGCAACCATAGTTATCCTACAGGCTTGGCACACAGGAGAAGTTTCAGATCTGCAACCTCACTGCTAGTTGCCACTGGAGTGGCAGTGGCTCAGAAGGTAGACCAGGTCGTCCACTTATCGGAAGATCAGCGGGTCATCCCCAGCTCCTCCAGCCAGCATGCTGAAGTATACTTGGGCAAGAAGATATTGAACCCCAAATTGCTTCCGCAGATGGCACCATGTATGGTAGCCTCAGCCACCAGTGTGTGAACGTGTGTGTGAATGGGTAAATGTGACATGTTACGCAAAAGTGCTTTGAGTGGTCAGAAGACGAGAAAAGTGCTATACAAGTGCAGTCCATTTATTTACCATTTAAACCCTACACACTGGACCTTTAATTACTCCTTTAACCCTGCTGTGTTCTGTGATAGTTCTGCATAGACACTGATTCTTTGTGCATTTGGTGACTTTCTATTTTCAAATACCGGTACTAATTCTCTCTCTGTGTGTGTTTCTCTTCTCGTCTCTTCACAGCTAACAAAGTGTACATGAATGTCCGGGCCAACTGCAAGAGCTAATCTAAAGAAGATGCTGTACATTATAATATTATGTTACATCTTTTAGATTCTGTTTTGTCAAAAAAATATATACATTAGAAAATGTAAGAAAAGGTTAATAAATAAAGTCTTTTTACATTAAACTCTTTTGCAATAATCTAAACTAGAGTATCTTGTATATATTACATTTTTGCTCAGCTTATTACAATACAATAAACTTATTAAAAAAATCAAAGTAATTTGACTTACTACACAATTACTATTACATACAATACACTTGATGTGTAATGTCCCACATAGAAGATCTTGAATACTTTATAAAGAGCCTTTAACATTTAATCACAATGTGTAGTCTCCAGTTACTGTATACAGTACAGGCCAAAAGTTTGGACACACCTTCTCATTCAATGTGTTTTCTTTATTTTCATGACTATTTACATTGTAGATTCTCACTGAAGGCATCAAAACTATGAATGAACACATGTGGAGTTATGTACTTAACAAAAAAAGGTGAAATAACTGAAAACATGTTTTATATTCTAGTTTCTTCAAAATAGCCACCCTTTGCTCTGATTACTGCTTTGCACACTCTTGGCATTCTCTCCATGAGCTTCAAGAGGTAGTCACCTGAAATGGTTTCCACTTCACAGGTGTGCCTTATCAGGGTTAATTAGTGGAATTTCTTGCTTTATCAATGGGGTTGGGACCATCAGTTGTGTTGTGCAGAAGTCAGGTTAATACACAGCCGACAGCCCTATTGGACAACTGTTAAAATTCATATTATGGCAAGAACCAATCAGCTAACTAAAGAAAAACCAGTGGCCATCATTACTTTAAGAAATGAAGGTCAGTCAGTCCGGAAAATTGCAAAAACTTTAAATGTGTCCCCAAGTGGAGTCGCAAAAACCATCAAGCGCTACAACGAAACTGGCACACATGAGGACCGACCCAGGAAAGGAAGACCAAGAGTCACCTCTGCTACTGAGGATAAGTTCATCAGAGTCACCAGCCTCAGAAATCGCAAGTTAACAGCAGCTCAGATCAGAGACCAGATGAATGCCACACAGAGTTCTAGCAGCAGACCCATCTCTAGAACAACTGTTAAGAGGAGACTGCGCGAATCAGGCCTTCATGGTCAAATAGCTGCTAGGAAACCACTGCTAAGGAGAGGCAACAAGCAGAAGAGATTTGTTTGGGCCAAGAAACACAAGGAATGGACATTAGACCAGTGGAAATCTGTGCTTTGGTCTGATGAGTCCAAATTTGAGATCTTTGGTTCCAACCACCGTGTCTTTGTGAGACGCAGAAAAGGTGAACGGATGGATTCCACATGCCTGGTTCCCACTGTGAAGCATGGAGGAGGAGGTGTGATGGTGTGGGGGTGTTTTGCTGGTGACACTGTTGGGGATTTATTCAAAATTGAAGGCACACTGAACCAGCATGGCTACCACAGCATCCTGCAGCGACATGCCATCCCATCCGGTTTGCATTTAGTTGGACGATGATTTATTTTTCAACAGGACAATGACCCCAAACACACCTCCAGGCTGTGTAAGGGCTATTTGACCAAGAAGGAGAGTGATGGAGTGCTGCGGCAGATGACCTGGCCTCCACAGTCACCGGACCTGAACCCAATCGAGATGGTTTGGGGTGAGCTGGACCACAGAGTGAAGGCAAAGGGGCCAACAAGTGCTAAACACCTCTGGGAACTCCTTCAAGACTGTTGGAAAACCATTTCAGGTGACTACCTCTTGAAGCTCATGGAGAGAATGCCAAGAGTGTGCAAAGCAGTAATCAGAGCAAAGGGTGGCTATTTTGAAGAAACTAGAATATAAAACATGTTTTCAGTTATTTCACCTTTTTTTGTTAAGTACATAACTCCACATGTGTTCATTCATAGTTTTGATGCCTTCAGTGAGAATCTACAATGTAAATAGTCATGAAAATAAAGAAAACGCATTGAATGAGAAGGTGTGTCCAAACTTTTGGCCTGTACTGTATATTTGGAGTTATTAAGCAAAGCCTAACAAATAAGAGTTGTGTTAGACTCTTTAAACTAAACTCAAAGTGTGTAAATCAAACTTACCAACTTTGTGAATAAAATACCTCTAAATGCCCAGTTTCTTAAAATGTTGGCACTATAACCACACCATGCAGCACCCTCTGCAGGTGAGTTTTGGTAGCACAGTACTGTATTTTAACAGGCCCTGAAGACCTTTTATAAATATATATATGTTATCAAAGATTGTACTGATACAAGTGATTTCTTTTTTTAAGACAGACCTGATGATTTAACATGATTTTTTTACAGTGTAGTATCAGACAAACCACTGTGCTGACAATGTCTTAAGGAAAATGTTGATTAAGTAAAATTTCCAGCTTCAGCACATTAATAAAATAAGTTTAAAATACTTCCATGTGTGTTATGTTAAACTGATTTTACCATTTACTGAGAGAAGTAAAATGTTTTTAGTGTTCAATACTATGTCTGTGCATTCATATGTGTTTTGTTGGGTCACATGCCTTAAAAAGTTTTATTTCTTTCTCAGAAACACGTCTTTTCATCTATTTTATCACACTGTACAACAGTGACATCTGAGCAGCATGACTAATACTGACCTGGTTAGATTCAGGACAGATGATGTCACCGTGTATTGAGGTGATATTGTGGTTAAACTGCTGTATGCCGTTACAGTCAAATACAAAAAAAAACAACTCTTGACCTTCATTAATTCAATATCTCTGCAACATTTGTCTGATCTACTTCCTCTACAGATGGACTGCATGTGTTCTCTCACTTTATGCAGCAGAAACACTCTTAAATAAAAACCTTGAGTGATTTTTGGTTGTGATGGTTTACAGCTGAAGTGTCTTTTCTTCTTTCACACAATTTGGGAAGTTGTTGCTGGGTGTTGCTGCATTAGGAATTTCCCTTGAGCTTGTAATTGCTCAGTGTTGACTGACTTAAGGGCAGCTTTTGACACAGGTGCATTATGTATAGATCCGAGCAGCTGGTTGATACAGATTTAATCTAAAGAGTGTTTCGAGGTTCAATTCTAGTGGGATCAATCATGCTTTTATTTTTTCCCCCGCTCTTTCTTTCACTGTTTTGTGAATGACACCAACACCTGCAGTTTATTTCCTTGTAATTGTAAGCCGGCAATTATTTGGTTTTCTATTTGATCCCTGAAAACTTCCTTCAGCTCTTACCTGCGGGGCATCCTGCAGGCTTATGGGTTTAACACTCTGTCTGTATAACTGCAAGATCCACCAAGTCTGCCTAATTCTTCATTGATCAATTATTAGGTGCTAATAGGAACAAATTTGGGTCTGAAATTTATAAAAATTCTTGCTTGTAAGTCAATAATTATCATGTTATTAAAAAAAATATTACAAGTCAATAATAAAGTTTTTTTTTTGTAATAAGTTGTTAATACGTGGATTTTTACAGAAGGTCAGAGGTCAAACAACCTATAATGAATTAACAAGTGAAAAATGAAAATAAAATGCCCTATTAGAAGAAGATAAGAAGAAATATTTCACAACTTGGCAACCCAGATGTTGCTCTTATTCATTATGACATCTATAAAGTATTGATAAATGATTTATTAACCATTTTATCATAGTGTGCTTTAGTGTTAGGAATAAAAAAGCGGTCAAAAGGCTGCAGTTTGTCTCGCTGCAGCAAGACATGTATAACTAAAAGGAAAAACATAATGTACCTGCTCTTTAAATATACATTCACTTTAAAATTTTTCTGATTGTTTTGGATATTCTAGCTGTTCCCATTGAGTTTGATAACATGGGATGATACTTTTTTAATCAAGGCAGCTATCTTGTGCAGCAAAATGTTTGAGAAACTCAGGTTTGATAAATCCATTTTATAGTTTTAAACCTCATCTTAATCAACTTTTATTCCTGATTTTCAAAATGCTGTTAATCATATGTAACTTTACAAATGGCTCTGTTCAATTAACATAATTTATTTTGTAATTTTCAATCTTATTAGTTTATAAGGTGCAGCACTTTGCTACATCACTAAACATTTTATTATTGCTGTTGATGTGTCTGTGTTTGCTCAGTACACATGCTGTGTATGCTTGTATTATACATTTGTATTGCATGTATTTTATATCTAAATCCTTTTTAATATTTAGTTATTCGAACATTATGAAACTTAAAAGTCTCCTTGACAGAAACAATAAAGGTGCACTTTCATTTCGCTGACAGGACATCACCATTAGCGATAAACCTGTGGTTTAGCAAAGGCACACAGACTAAAAGCAGCAGTGACTGTGGCCGCCCGCCTGCTCTAAACCACATATCATGAGGAAATGCTCTATTCGGAGATACAATCGCATGAATTTCAGCAGAAACTGCAGGTGTAGTGAAGCTGACCTCACTATGTACAGCTCCTTATCTTAGAATCACTTGGACATGTTCATTTGATACTGTTTAAAAGACAAAAACGAAGGCCTGAATCCTCATGATGAAATGTGACAGAGTGGATGAATTTCTGTTTTTAAGTATGACACCTGCAGCTCTCACATGAATGTGACATTACAGAGATGAAACACCAGCTTCCTCTTCTGTGAGTGGACTCCCTCCTCCTTACACAGTCACATGTTGACAACCCTCACACCTCTGCCAATGTCGCCTGTGGACAGCTCTTCATCTGTGAACCCTCCTACATCTGGCTTTCTTGTTTATGGGTGCAACAACACTGCCATTTGAAAGAGCACAGACGGACCACTGGCCCTCGACCTGTCTGTCTCTCATTTCCTCCCCAGTCAGAGAACAACATAAAGAAGATGTCTGATGCTCTTTGCATTGTGGGTTCAATGTTTGGTGAGTGGGTTTCTATTTGTGTTTTGACAGTGAATAATTGTAGCGATGAGTTCAGGGACTCTCTCAGGTGTTGTTTTTATCTGAGGTTTTAATACCTGTCTGCCTTTCAGGCTCTGCAGAAGGACAGCAAGGTAGGTTGCTTCTTTAACTCTACTCCTCTTGTGGGATGCTGCAACATGATGTGGGTTTTGGTTTTGTATTACAACACTGTCTTCACTCTTTCACAGGCTGTGATTCATGTTACCTGATAAACATGGGCTCTGTCATAGGCATTATTGCCTCTGATATTCTCTTGACCATCTTCATCACTGTTTCTGTGTTCTGCTTTGCGACTCACCAAAGGAGAAGGAGGGATTCTCATGATGGTGAGTGCTTACTTTATATGTATGGCTGCTGATTTGTGCCCATGCTGGGTGGTGATATGGCAGGTGGGGAGTAACTTTTTCTGATATAAAATCACAGGTAAAAGAAGTCCGCCGTCATCGGTATCAAAGAAAATGTCATCAGAGGTCACAGAATCTCCCTACCAGGTACAGCAAAAAAATATTAGAGCCTTAAAGATGCTAAATATGAAAGTTATTTTAGGTTATGTGTGTTTCCATGATGAATTGTTTCGACTTTTTTCTGTAGGAGTTACACGGAGTCCAGTCAGATGTGTACAGTGAGCTTCGGCACTTTAGGAAATGAAACAATGGAACTATAAAAATGCAAGCTATATGTGGATGACACCACACAGTCTTCTACACACATCCTGTTTTTCCAGTTGCAGTACACTCACGCAGTATTATAGTTAACAACGTACATTATGTTTTTGCATGTATAATAGATATATTAAGGACTGTGTTGTGCTGAATGTGATGTTCGCTGCTTCACATTCTTGTTTTTGTGAATCTTAAGCTGTTTTCAAATTTGTATTTAACTGATTGTAAATTAAAGTATTTAAAGGAAATGAAAAAGATGCATTTGTATTTATATTTTCAGGAATTACTGACAACTTGATTTCAGATACTGAGATAAAAGCGACAACTTAAAGGTAGATTTGGTTCTAGGTTATTAAAAAATGGTTGTTGTGCTCATTTCTGATGTCATTTTCTGACATTTCTGTAAACGCTGTAGCAGTTTACTCTGTTTAACCAGTTTCCATAAGTAAGCCGGATACAAATTTGTCAAAACTTCTTTATTTCACATGATCACAAAAAAAAAAAAAAAAAAAAAAAATCTAAATGTGGATGAAAAAGTCCCAGAAGCGACTGCATTTGGAAGCAGCCAGTCGATGACTCAACAGATGACAGCCCCTGACTCAGTACGAGGAAGAAATAGAATCTGGAAAAGGAGAGAAAAACAACTGCTATTCAACATTACACTCATATCAGATGATTAACAAAGCAAGGTCTAGGAAACTGTTTCTCATAATTAGACGAGGATGAAATGTAACTCATTTAAATGTGCATGATGTGGTGCGGTTGTTTCCCTGAACCAGACTGGACTGATAGAGACATAAGCACATTGGAAACACACCTTCGCATGATCATCAGGAGGCTCGGCTCTTTGCTGGAGCAGAGAAGCTACTGGGCATATGCTCTGGAGGTGCTAAAACGTATATGAGAAATGACAGATCTTTCAGGAAAGCAGTCACTGTATGCATCGGTTATCAAACACTGTTGTTACAATATTCACTAGTGGAAGAAAAAGCTGATCTTACCTATTGGATAGTACGTTTCAGAGCTGATAAATTCTCTAGTTTGTGTGGGAATATTAAATATCAATTGTTCATTCTTTGATTGCTCAGAGCACAATTCTTGGGGACACATGCCCCCAGTATTCAAATATGCTAGAAATATGGGTAGATGCAATCAATGTCAAACACTGTACTTGCTCCCCGTTTACTACTTTATTACTTTCAAATGTATTAGTGGAAAACTATTGAGTGTTATGTATGCTATGTCAATGTCCATTGTTGTAGTTTTTGGAAAGTATTGGTATATAATTTTTAAAAATGTTATGTCATAGTATAGTCATAAAAACATCTTTAAAAATGTCATTATATGTCATAAAAAAAATTCATTAAAATGTCAGTGTGTAAACTTGTTTTGTGCATCCTTCAATCAATCAAAAATGGCCTCAATAAGTGGTACTTATTATTATTGCTTTGTTTTATCTTTAACTATTGACCTATTTTTTTTATAAGGGTGAATATTTTTCTAAATTTATTTCACATATTTAATTTGTGTATTTCTTCCTGCTAAATACTTACTTTTTTTATTATTATTATTACCAATAAGTTTTCTCATGGGTTGAAAGATGCTTATTTATCATACCACTAGGACTGTTTTTGAAGGCATATAACAAATGTTTTATCTGTATTTGAATATTTTGTTACTTTACCTTCAAAGAAAAGGAGAAAAAACACTTTGGAATTATGATGTGATGTAAGAATTGTGCCCCAATTTTGTTATGAATAAAAATTTTAATTAACAAAACAAACAAAAAAATGGCACTCAAAACTTCTGATCTAAGATTTTTGTTTCAAAGTGCTCTAAAATGGTCAGATTAGCTGTTAAATTTCTCAAAAGAAAATTCAAGTGGGAATTTCCCACCAAAATCCCCCTGAAGGGCCCCGCCCCAATGCCAAATATGTGGTGCTGTCCCTAAAATAAAAAATACATTTGTTTAATAGAATCTGATCTTACCATCATGGTCCACATCTCCTCTGTTCCCAACTGGAGCAGGTCTGCCATTGTTTTCCTCCAAACTATCCGGATCCACCAGTTCTCTGCTTATGTATGGGGCCATCATACCATTCAACCCATGAACTCTTTCTGGTGTAGCCTTCCTCTGGAGACGGCCAGTCACTTGGTCCCCACTCAAACGAATAACATGTTGTCCTGACAAATTTTCAGCCCCTTGAGTGTTCATCATCACTCCTTCCTCACTGTTGAGATCAGTCCACTCTCTGCTTGCTGTGTCTGCCCCATGTGGCTCACCGAGCTCCCTGCTCTCCTGGTCCTGAACCAGCCTCCTACTGATATTCACTGACCCCACATTGGTTTCCCGCCTTGAAAGTGCTTTCTCCACAACTTTAGGAATCATGATTTCATCACTGTCAAGGCCTTTGAACGCATCTGGAAAGAGCAAGTCGTTAGAAACAATGAATCATCTCATTTGCATGTTAGTATTAATTTAAATTCAAGGTAGCACACCTCTGCTTTCACCTCCATTTTTATCTGATACTTCAGGCCCTGAAATATTAAAAAAAAGAACTTAGTTTTGTTCAAATTAAATGGAATATTTTTTCAACATTGAAATAAAAATGAAGCAAAAAATCACACCTGTTAATCCACTGGTGTTAAAATTCTCTGTAGATCTTGCCTCTGACATATCTGTGAATGGATTGTTAAAGAAATCTGAGGCACTCAATTCAGCAATTATTGAAAAACCCTAGTCATAGGAACAGTTAAAAACATACCCATGGGTTTTAGCCATTAAGGCCTTCATCAGGGCAAGTGACTTACTCTTGTGACTGAATATCTGTGAATGGGTTTGCTGCTCTTTAAAGTGAAATTCTGCTCATGACAAGCTCCATAAAACAGCTTTTTGTGACAATTTGGAAATCAAGGTGAGACTTTAGTTATTTTATGTACATGATGGTACAGTATGATCCACTGTACCACCATGTACATATTTTAACAAGGGAGAAAAGAGCACAAAAATGTACCTTCAGAATCTTGCTCATTTACGGGCCTAGATGAAGGGTTTCGATTTACTGCAGACATGAGAAAACACATGATGATAATCACTGGGGTGGTTTTCATATGGTAACGATCAGATAATGTCAAAGGTGCTCGCTACTGTACAACCTGAAGATTAGACTAAGCGATTAAGCAGCACAGTTACCAAGAACGTCTCTGTTCCGTTTTTTGTCTCTCATTCGTGACCTGGTGTTTGAAACTCATGTTTATGTTCATGGGGAACAAAAAGTACTTTGAGGATCTGGTGAGATGAGACCTTCCTGTTTTAAAACTGAATTTATCTCAGTGTGTGTGTGTGAGAGTTGTATTGTGAAACACAGACCTGTTGTACTTGCAGGTGTGGTCTTTTCAGTTGTCGTGCCAAATGCATCTATAACAAGAGTAATCGACAAGTTGTGTGATCAAAGTTTGCAGCAGTGGTATAAACAGGTATTAATGTCATTTCAAAAGGCAGTGCTGTGTCGGTTTTGCGTGTAAAAAAAAACCCATAAAAATGATATAAAAATGACATTATCTCACCATTTAGGAGGCTTAACACATTTTCCCTTCGCGCTTGAAAAGAAAGAGAGACAAGGTGTTATTCCAGCTGTCCTATTTTATAAATCTTTAACGTACATTACAAAACATCTGATTATTTTTTCTCTCTTTAGGTGGGTTTACCTCTAATTGGGGCTGTTACCACCATAGCTGCAAAGGGAAGAAGTAAACAACACACAAAGCTGAAACAAATAAAACAACAATTAATTCAGGGTTGAAATGCATGTTTATGTTGAATTTATTGCATTTGCAGCTTTAGGAAAACATATTTCAATATATCAATTATCTATTAAACAAAATATAAAAACTTACAGCTTCATTGTTGACGTTGGTCCTCAGTTGTGTCCAGTGTTTGTCAGCAAGAGTGCTGTTACGCTTTTATGTACTGCTGCTTCATCCTGATTTTTCACCTTTAATAGGTCTCACCCCGGTTAATTACAGATTCTAACATGACGTATCAGATTCAGCAGTCAAAGACTTCTTCTGTGTGTTTAACAGTGCATGACTTACAGGCAGAGACGCAGCAGTTTGAGTTTACAATGGTCTATTCATGATATCAACTCCATATTCAAACTCAAACAGAATCTTTCTCATTATTCTGTGTTGATTACAGGTGGTTGGTTACTTCAGGAAAAGGCCCCTGGCTTTTTCTTTGACTGAGGTAAATGATGCCACAGAAAAGGTATTGTTTTTGTCACTGTTTCGCCATTGTCCTTTTACCCAGTGAGCCCTATATTTTGCCTAACAAAGAGCTTTTTAAAGCAGGTCGGCCCTGCACTGAGCATCTATAGAGATGCCTCTTGGTAGAAGTATCCTGAAATGGAGGGCACAATAATGCAGTACTTAAAGCAACAAGTTAGGAAACAGTGTGAATTGCAGTCTCATGTGTGTGCATGCTGTGCTAATACTAAAAATACTTCATAAAATGTGAGTTATGTAGGCCTGCTGAACCATATATGCCTTCAACAGTCTTATAACAGAGCTCATGGTGGCTAAATGTGCATGTTGCTTGTGGAAATGACCAGTGAGTTTGGGGTGTACAAATGACATTATAAGTGTGACTGAATGCTGAATGCACATGCAGATAAAAGTTTGTGCCTCAGTCAGACCTGTTGGTGGCAAAGGGAGCTACAATCTCCCCCATGTAAAGGAAAAAGTTAGAGCGCCCTCTGCAGGAGAGGCTGTTCGCACTAAGCTCTTGATCCCAAGCATCGCCATATTGACGTCCCAACAACGCTGAGAGGTAATCGTGTTATTTAACCACAAATCGTCGCAGGTTTGGACCCGCTGTTGAGTGTTTTATACGTGCGGAACAGCCGAGAACAAGCCACACAGCCTCGGTGCCTTTCTACGACTCGATCACAGTGTTTGTAGGGTGTTTTTTCAAGGCGTTGTCAGTCAGTTGCCTCGCCAGCCAGCAGGCTATTCACTCCCCTAGCATGCTAGCTTAGCACTTTCTAGCTTTAGGAAATATATTTTTCGAAGCCGGTTGTTTAGCTGTACGTAAATAATAATCACTATAATGATTATTTGACCGTTTCGACGCGG